TGACAAACGACTGCGCCGCGCTCAAGTTGAAAATAACACACATCCACTTTAGGCTTCCTTGATTAAATTGCAGGCACGTCCGTCTGACATATATTGCGGTTTTGCTGCGAAAGTGCGAAGTGCATACGGACGTGCGAGCATAAGAAAGGGCGTGTTATTCCAGTTAAACATATCTGATGAGTAGAATAATGGGATAACACAATAAATAGGTCAAAGGTGTTGCGGATTCATTTTTCAATATATACAAACAATAAAATGTAACTATGAGGAAAAGGGTTTATCAGATTTGTACAGGAAGTCTACCCATGGAGCCCTACTCGTAACACAATTTAGTGCCATAAAGCAATATAAAATGTTTAAAGTCATTTATTGACCTTTATTCAAAAAGAAAGTCTGATTTCTGAAGCTTTTTTTGAAGGAACCCTTTTGGACCCATTTTAGTGTAACACGAGCACCTGGAGAAAACCTGCACATGTCTTGTTGCTGTGAGGCGAGAGTACCAACTGCTGCGTCACTGTATCGCAGATGAACATAGACAAGGGGTGTCGAAACGGTTCTCAAAAGTTGAGTGTGACTGTAGGTTTTCATTCCAACCCAGCAGGAGCACACCAGACTCCAACCATCCTCAGTGAGCTGCTGTCATACAGCTCTTGGATACAGAAGGCTGTAAGATCAATCAAATCAAAATTGCATATACTTATTCACAACTACCAAATCATGATTACTGTAAGTAATTGTTCTCTGCAAGCAACAAATAACCTTTCAGTGTCCCCCACTTCTCTGTGATGGACAGCAAAAGGACAGCTGCGTTCAGTCCATTGGCTGCAGCACTACACTAAATTGGAAATTTAGTGAACATAGACACAGAAGGAAATTTTAGTGTAGTACTTTTAGGGTGTATTCAGACCAGAAAAGTCCTTTGCTCCGCTTGCTTGGTCCAAACCAAAAGCAGCATTTTTTTTCTTTTGCTCCGGTTTGTATTCAGACTTTTTGCAAGTGAACTATTTTTATAAACATATCGACGCGTGTGACGATCGGCGCACCTATTGGACAGCGAGAGCTCACGGAGAATATGTGGAAATGGAGGAAAACATAGAGCTCGTACTTGCTCTGCCTATATTTTCTCTTTTTACAGCAAAAGCACCTTCAACTTCAACAGCAGCTCATTCGACACAGGCGAAACGCGTTGTTTCAAATTTTAGAACAGCGTCGGCGAATGCGTTCTCTCAAAAGCCGAAGGAGACTGTGCGCCACGTGCCCTGTCCCACATATGGATGTATAATAATAACTTACAGACATCAGCAGCATTGTGGATAAACAGACGACGGAGGATCAGGTATGAACCAAAGAACACAATTCACTACATGATACGGGATATTGCTTTTTGAGACGTGAGTCAAAAACGTGAGGTTTGCAAATGATTTGAAGATGCTGCCATTAATATCACTGTATACTGTGAAAAGTTAAAACTCCGTAAGCCTGTTGCACAGTATCTCCTCGTTGCTCCAGGTCTGCCCACGGCTCATTGTTGTTGTGTAGCATGCGTTAGCAGCATAGTTAGCAGCTGTGACGCGTGGCTAATTCCTCACAGTTCCTGTCTACGGTGGCTTGTTAAGCCCAAAAAATGCGCACATAGGATCTACACCGGTTGTATTCAGACCTGAATCGACATGGACCAGAGTTCGTTTGGAAGCGGACCGAGACCACCTAAAAAAGTGGGTCTCTGTCCGGTTCTTTGGTTCGGACCACGATTTGTTTGAGTGTATTCACACCTGCATAAAAGGTTCTGATAAGAGTTCCAAACGAATCCTGGTCCGTTTAAAGTGGACCAAATGTGCAGATCTGAAAACACCCTAAATGTTTATTAGGTGAAATGTAATGTCCCCAAGCTTTATGAACGTGAGAAGCAAGGATGAGGAAATTGATATTTGTTGAAACACTAACCATTATGAAATACTTACAATAAGAGTCTGAAATAATGTAGATGATTCTAGATAGAAAAAACATCTACATACAGGAAGAAACAGACTTCTTGGCCTGGCTGTTATCAATACGCTCAAAAGAAACATTATGCCATCTTCAAAATATCCAAAGAATTGAAGCCCTCTTTTAAATTCATTACCCATCTCCAGTGCAGACTTTGCTCTGCCCTGACAATTATGAAATGCACCAACTATCCTTCCGTGTTAGCAAAGCTTATTGCAGATAAGTGTTTATTTTCTGTGCACACTCGTTTCCCTGGTGGTCTGGGACTGATGGAGGAAGAGGAGGTGATGGAGGGTTGGTCAGACGCACTGGGGGATGAAGGAGAAATCAGGCCCCGTTATAAATAACCAAGATGAGGCAAGCTCGCATTGATCCACAGCGCAGCGGAGAGGAGAGGTGCTGGCTGCTCTTCCCTGGGCCTAATTGCCAGTTCTGTGCTTTGGGGACGAGGGAACCGTTAAGATGTGGTCTGCATCCCATCAGGCTCTGGGAATACGCAATGCCAGGTAAACGGGAAGTAAAAAGGAAACGGAGGAGTTTGAAAATTGGTACCACAATATGTTGTTGTTGATTTAGAGATGCTGTATGGTATAAATACATTAAAAATAATAAAATCTAGAGATATTTTTTCCAGTTCTATATTTAAGATTAACACCTGTATGCCCCCCCTACACCTACATCACTGGTGTGGGCGGAGCTTAAAGTAGCAGTATGTAATATTTGCATGTCAAGTCATCATTAAATGGCTCCCATATTTCAAAAGGCGTTATTAAATCATGCTCTTTTCGAATACATCTTTAACTGATAACAGTAGTTCAGCCGAGATATTTGAATATCAAAATTAGTTTTACGACCCGTAAAAGTTGTTATTGTTTTGAGAACACAAACTATCTTATGTGGATCTGTCTTTTCTCACTTGTTCTTTTAAATAATCCAACTATTCAAACTGGACTAAGATGTGTTATGGGGATTCTTGAATGAGCAGATAATTAGCAGGAGAATCCATTGCACCATTCCATTTAATTTGATGGTATTGGTATTGCGTACCTAGTAACTACAGTACTTGTGCACTTAGATTGTTATGACGGTATTATAATATTATAGGATAAAAAAGTTCTGCCACCAGTAAATTCCCACCCCCAAAATAAAGAGTAAATGTTTGCATGCTTTGAAAGGGCCTATAGCAAGTTTAGTTTAGTTTATTAAGATCCCCATTAGCCACTGAGATGCAATGGCTAATCTTCCTGGGGTCTCCTCAAAATCATTACATGCTTTTACATATTTTTATACATAAATCACACACACACTCACACACACACACACACACGACGATATGACAGCTCAGTGAGAAATCATTTACAACTATGAAAAAATAAAAAATAATAATAATAATAATAACAAATGAACTTTCTCCAGTGGTTTCAGTCCAACTCAAATATAAAATATTATATTTGATGATGTATAATTAATGTTCATGTGTGAAAAGATATAGCTTTAATTTCTTTTGAAAATGAATTCTCTCACTCTCTTTGATCAGAAAGGAGGGCAACAAGTTCCATGCAACCATGGCTCGATAGACTACAGTTTTCTGCATTTTATTTGTTCTGCTAGCAGGGAGCACACACCTTAAATCACTACTTTGCCGTGTGGCATGATCATGGGAATTTGAAAACAGTTTCAATTTATTATATATTGTTTCAGGATTGTGTGACACTAAAACATTCCTGATAAACGTTAATAAATAATACTGTGTTCTGCTTTTTACAGTGAGCCAGGCTAAACTGTTGTGCATTGTTGTGACATTTGTTCTGTACGGGCAGCTCAATACAATTCTGGCAGCTTTGTTCTGAGCGACTTGTAATTTGTGTAGGTTGTTTTCACATGTGTTTGACCAAACCACCGACGCATAATCCATCTGGGAAAGAACTAATGACTGCACAAGTCTCTTGGTCAACCACTGTGGTATACATTTCCTACAGTGTTTGATCATCCCCATGCTTCTTCCCATTTTTTTAACTATACAATTTATGTGACTGTTCCATGACAACTTTGAATCAACTATTACCCCCAATAATTTTGTCTCTTCTACTTGTTCAATAATGTTTCCTTCTAGTATCAAATATAATTTAGGTGTTGCTTTCAACATGTACTGTGACCCAATTAACATGCATTTTGTTTTTTCAGAATTTAATACCAACCTATTCTCGTGAACCCACTTTGCTACCTGAGATAATTCCTCATTAAGAATGTTATTAAGCTGCCCTACTGTAGATGCAGATGCATATAAAGTAGTATCATCTGCATATACAGCCATGGTTGCATGTTTCAATACCAATGGAAAATCATTAGTAAAAATTGAAAATAATAATGGTCCCAGGCAACTGCCCTGGGGCACTCCACAACTCATTCTTTCAACCTCAGAATAGCTACCATTAAAATAAACTTTATACTCTCGATTACTTAAGTAACTTTCAATCCATTTTAAGGCTGTTGATTGAAATCCATAACAGCATAACTTATTCAACAAAATACTATGGTCTAAAACATCAAAAGCAGCACTAAAGTCTAATAATATTGTCCCAACTAAGTTTTTATGATCAATTTCCTGTAGCCAGTCATCAGTAATCTGAGTGAGAGCAGTAGTTGTGGAGTGATCCGCTTTATATGCATGCTGACAGCTCGTATTTAATCGGTTGTTTAAAAAATACTCTTGTATTTGGTTGTATACTACTTTTTCCATGATTTTGCTTAATGCTGGTAACAGACTAATTGGTCTACTGTTTTTATTCGAAAATGGATCTTTATTATTTTTTATTAGAGGTATTATTTTTGCTTTTTTCCATTCAGTAGGAAAAATGCCTTTGTTTAAACTTAGATTAATGATATGAGTAACAGGCGTCACAATTCTATCTGAATAGAAAGTAATAGCAAGTATTTAGTGATTTGAGAAGGGCTTATGATGGGCCATCTATTGGAATACATAATGCAAAAAGTAAGGACAGCGTGTGACTTACGTGAGCCGCCATCAGAGTCCTGGAGGAACCTGTCCAGTATGAGACGTGCCAAAAGAGCTGGAGACAGATCCACCTGGAGACATGGGAGAGATATGAGCATGGAAACAACTGATTGACGCAAGTTTAAGATTAAAAGGACACATAACAGTAAACATAATAAAAGTATATTTATATATAATATATATATGTACATAAATAAACTTTTTCACCAGCTTAAAATATGTTTCATTTTTGGACCATGTCTCTTATTTCTACTCTTCCGCCACCCATCACAAATAACACTTATTCCCGTTTTCTTCATTTGTGAATGGACTTATGAAAACAAGTGCAGATCCCCATGTACAAAAAAGATGAACTGCGAAGAGGCATCACAAAGACATGAGGAAAAGCCCCGAGCTGCACGCCAACACCATCTCCAGCTAATGAAGACATAAACTCTGCTCTCCCTTAATTATTATAGACACGTTTGGCCTTTTTTTTCCTTTACCGGCTGTTTCTTAATGCAATAGTCTTCTGCTGCAGGGACAGAGCTGTTGTTTCGACGGAGAAATGCCTACATCACAGAAAAATAAAGAGATGAAAAGCACTTGTCTCACTACAGGCTAACGGCAAACTCACTTCTGCTCTCCAATTATGCTAACAAGAGGAAAAATGATCCCGGCTGCAGGAATGTGGTGTTTGGTAATGAGCGGGCTGCTGTCTGCTAGCCCCGTTTTAATCTGCTCTTTATGCCGACAGCTGGAGAGTTTAGAGGGGGTGACTTGGTGTGTTAGGATGTATCGGGTAATTACAGGTGCATGTGAGAGAAAAGTGAAATGGGTATAAAAGAGTGTGTTTAAAATGATGAATAATGGTTGTGTCCCGCCTCAAGCCCCATGGACGTGATAATAATAGGCAAGGTTAGCTATATTAGATTCAAGTGCCCAATGTTCTTCCATGAACAATAGTTGAGTAGTATTTCTTTAGAGAACCAGAACAGATCTACAGTATCTTACAAAACATAGAATTCATTCATGGAACAGCATAGAACACACAGTGGATATCAGACACAAATTAGGATTCAAAATGTTCAATGAAGGTCCTCGTCTGACACTCTCCGAGAAGGACAGCAGCGTCAGAAAGGGGGGTGGGGTCTAATGGATTAATGTGGTTTTGACAAATGTGGGTCATAAATACGAGTAAATATGCTGACATTTGATGAAATGTGTAATAGATAGGAGTAGTGGTTTGTAGTCTATTGTTTTATTGTAGTTGTAGTAGTTTATTTCTTCTATGAACATTAGATCTTAGGTCACATATTTTTCTTATACATTCTACAATAAAGTGCTAAATAATGCCTGACCGAAGGGAGTTTAGGCTGAAGTCAGGACTTGTACTGCCTAACCCCTTTTACAACTGTAAGTCCAAAGATGGCACATTATTCAGATTTTCAAACACCAACAATTTTAACTTATAGCACAAAACTATTACTAGTTATGCATAATCCAATTCAAGTGTTCTATACTTATTCTATTGTTCTATAATATGGAACTTATACTTTTTCAGTTCAGAGCAGCTTTTAATTGGGTTTCGTCCCTAATAAATACAACTGCGAATCCCCTCCAGGTGGACCAACTAAATAAAGGTCTTTGAGTGTAGAGCCGCATTAAATGAATCGAAAAGGAAGAGACCGACTTGATTTGTATCGTCCAGCCCTGACTATTTTTCGGTGCGCTGGATGGACAACATATCAAATAAGCCAATTAAAAGCTCTGAAGACAGGAATAGCCTGGAAACCTAACACAACATCACATTTTGCCGTACACGTGGGGCCTGTACACTTCATTAGCACCTCGGGATAATGAGCTCCGAAGTAGATCCCGGGGAGCGGGAGCCAGGGTTGACACATGAAAAATGGCGACATTAACGGTGCGGGGCCAGCCTGAATAAGGACCACCTGATTAGTTCAGGTACTTGCATCGTCCTAATTTTCATATTAATCACGAGTCCATCTTCAGACACATATCAGGCTAACGTGTGGCTAAGGCTCACAGAGGTGGAAACGAGGAAGCACTCCAATAATCATTGCTTAGAAACTTGTTATTATGCCTGTGGGACATTCTATTGTCAGAAAGCATCTATCCAGAAATGTGCAAACGTTACAGACAAGATTTTAGTGGTTTTAAGGATAGTGAAACCGACTCAATACGTTTCTACATATGTCTGAAATTGTAGGGCTACCAGCAGTCCAGGCATTTGCTCTTTAACAAGATGGTGATTTGAAAATATCCCATTATATGCAATGGTGTGCATACTAAAGTAATAAGCGCATACCGAATACACTGAATTATAAATACACATTTTCATGAACTGATCTCAAAGATATAGCACATAAATAGATTGGCAAATCCCATAGCATTAATAATACACAGGTTTCTTAATAGAAGGGACTTGTTTTACTGTGGCCATCTTAATGCCTCAACTAGGACAACAAGATGAATCAGAATTGTTTTTATTGCCTTTGTAAGTAACAGGAAGTCACACACTAGGAAATATATTTGGTTCCTGGTGTAAACAAAAAACATCTGGTGAAACCCAAGTGAAACCAAATGAAATAACTTAAATCCATTGCAAAGTAAAACACAAATCTTTCAGTATATTTTTAACAGTACTAGAGATGGCAAGCTCTGCACACCTACCCCAGACTCGTACAGGAGTGTGTTCTAAAGTTTAACTCACCTGAAGTTTGATAAAGTAGACACACTTGAAACAAAGTACAACTGTAAACATTTGTGTATAAAATCGCATTGCAACCGCAATGTTTATCAGTAAATGTGGATTTGGCCAAAATGTTAACGCCATTTCCTGAACCAGTGTTTTTCACCCAGCTAGTTCTATCATATAGTTAGAAGAAGGTGTTGCAGCACACATGAAAGATAGGGATAAGGAACACACAAAACAAGATACATACCAGTTTTATGCTTACTGTATTTAACTTTTGCTTTAAAAATCTTCAATGCTCATCTTTAGCTATAACAATGACTTCATTGTAGGTCAATGGGCATTCAGGACAAAAAGGTGACTTATGGGATGCATGGGCAGTGTGAGCTTAAAATTCCCATGTAACATGTAAAATACCAAAACAATGACTTGATAAACTTTTAACCCCACCTATTTAATTGGGCCTAATTGTGTTTGAACATGTATTCTGGCACTAATGCAGTGACTGTTGATTAAAATGATTAAAATGTCTAAATGGTCAGTTTGTTTCATCCTATAGAGTGTATAATCCTCAAACTACAGGCCTGGAAGTGTGTGGAGGTGAAGAGGGATAATCATTTCTTCAGCTGCAGATATACTGTCTCATAAAGAGATGAAACTACATCAATTAGAGACAGGAAGACGGCCGGCGCACGCTTTAAATGTTAAGTGGCATATTAAAACACAGTTAAACGGTTCATAGACGGTTATCCCGCGGCCCAATATAATCCGAGCTCTGGAAAAATCATGTGTCAATTAAAATGAATGTATAATGGCAGTTAGCGGTGAGGTGAGGGAGGGCGGATTGGTCTCAGAGGGAAATGTACTCAAAGGTCATGTAGGTTACTTGAAGTTTAAAGGTTAAAGCAAAAATAATTAATTTGACTGAAAACCTATTGTGGTGTTGCGTTTTTGTATATTTACTTTCTTCCAAGTAAAAATACATTTACATTTGTACAGTGGTTTAGTTAGGGGTTCTGACTCAGTGCCGTTTGAATATCCATCCATCCATCCATTTTCTACCCTTTAATCCATTTCTGGGTCAGGGGGGTGGCAGTCAGAGATGCCACCCAAGTCTCATAGCACCAGCCCCTCACTGACCCTCTGCAGGTGGTGAGTCCACAGGAGGACGGCTGCTCTCTGAGTGTGAGCATAGCCTTGATCTTTCAGTGGGGGCTTTGGGCAAAGTGGGGTTAAGTGTCTTGCCCAAGGACACAACGACAGCAGTCATCAGTGGGAGTCGATGGAGAAGGTGCAGAGGTGGGAATTGAACCCATAACCTTCTGGCCTTAAGGCCAATGCTCTACCAACTGAGCTACTGTCGCCGTTTGAATAATCTAGTTTAAATCTGGGTTGGTGCTCGTCCCGTCCTTGATCAATCCAAACTTTGTTCACACCCTTAGAATGTTGGGTATTTGAGTAATGTACCCTGCTCGGTCAATTCGTGTTGAGTTGGGGTAAAATAAGTATACATAAGTAAAAGACCAGAAAAATCACAAGTTTGGATGCTGTGCCTGACGTGTGCTTAAACCAGGACATGTCCAGGCCTGTCTTAAATTCTCTAGATAGCATTTGGAATATCCAGAAGAGGATTGGGTCTTTTAGTCCGATGAAACCAAAACATACATTTTTGGGAAAAATTCAACACTAGTCGTGTTTGGAGGAGAAAAAAAATGGGGATTTGAGGATTTTTTCTGCAAAGGGACTGGGACAATTGATTCATACTAAGGGAAGAATATCATGATATTTTGAGTGAAAACCTCCTTCCATCAGTAAGGGCTTTGAAGATGAATTATGTGGCCAAATCTTTCAGCATGACAATGATCTCAAACACACCGTTTGGGTAGCGAAGGATTGGCTCCATAAAAAGCATTTGAAGGTTCTGGAGTGGCCTAGCCAGGCTCCAGATCTCAATACAAAATATTTGGAGTGATTTGAAAGTCTATGTTACCCAGCGACAGCCCCAAAACATCACTGCTCAAGAAATCTGCATGGAGGAATGGGCTAAAATACCAGTAAAGTTACAGAAAGAGTTACAGACTTTTATTATTGACATTTGAAAAAAAAGTATACATTTTTTTCTTGCTCTTTTTAAGTGTCTTTTTAAGATCAGAATCAAAATAATTTGTATTGCCAGACTAGGAAATTGCTTTGGCTCGGTGCAGGCAAGCCAAAAGTAGAAAAGAATAAGGCATAATAAAACATTTCTAAACATCTCTAAAGTATAGCTGTTTGTAAGATGGATAGAGTTAAAAAGTAAAGTTATTACAATTATTACTACTCGGTGCACACAATATACGATGTACATTAAGCAGTGCAGTAAGGTGACTTTATAGAGGGCAGTAAAGCGACTTTATAAAGGGCAGTAAAGTGGCTATGTAAAGGGCACTTATGTGACTTTATAAAGGGCGGGGGGACAAGGTTGGGAACTGCGTCCAGAGCGGCCGAAGCTGCCCCGGGTCAGAACACTGCGGCCATGGAGGATGCGGACTACCGTTCGAGTTCATACAGCTAACAACAGCAAGTTTCCAGCGGTTAGGCGCGCCCCCCTAAAACATTTCTCAAAGGATTTACAGAGATCACAGAAATGTTTTTTTTTTTGTATGAATACTTCTGAGAGTTATTATGGGATGCAGGGCAGGTCATTCGACACATGTATCAAATGCGTTAATTTTTTAATGCAATTAATGAAAACATTTAATTAACGTGCGTTAACGCAATAATTTTGAAAGCCCTAATATAATAAATTATATATATATATATATATAATAAAATGGATATACAATGTACATCTTAAACGTCTCAAAAAGCTGTGTAACTTGAGACAACCTGTGATGGAATGGCTTTATTGACACATTCAACCAATAACGCACCCCAATTCAACCAAACTGTTTGTTTGGCAATTAATAAAGATTATTGATTGTTAAGGACAGCTATATAAACACTTTTCTAACTGCTTGATTGGGGAAAATATCATGTTTAAAAGTGAGCTAGTCATTGCTGGTGCAGAGTGCCTCCATTAAGGGGTGAATGTGGACAGGTGGTGGCAGTGATGAAAGGGAGGCTAAGTTGCGGTCAAGCTGCAGGCCACAGTTTGGATCCACTCAGTGTAAGAAACAATTGAGCCAAACTGTTTTTACATCTGCCTGGGGAGCTGAGCCATAATTACCTTCAATAATTGATAATGGACCGGCCCGTTTGACCATTTCACCAATTTTGATAATGGCTAACAGACAAGAGAGTGTGAGGGTATTTTTAGCAAACTCTCCGTGTTGAGTTTGGTCCAGATGGAAAAAAAAAATTGAGTTCATAAAGCGATTTATCATTATACATTATTATCCATCTCCAAATAGGGATTTTACTCACAAAAATTAAAACACTTTGTATTTGCATTTTGTCATGCAGTCACGCTCTTAGAAGTAACGACAATTGATATCAAAAGATGGAGACACTTTTGAGTTCTATATAGCACTCATGTTGTATCAACTGTAGGTATTGATAGATAGATACTTTATTGATCCCCATAGGAGAAATTCAGGTGCTCTGATCTCAAATAATCTGAACTCAACTCAACTGATACAAGTCACTCATTTTCCTCCCAAGTAGAAATGAGGTAATCTAACAGTAACGGATGACAAGCAGAAAGAACCCAAAGTGTCCATTGTGAGTTGACGTCTCCAGAATCCAGACTTGTAATTGTTTCGATGGAAATTGTTCTATTATCAAACTGATCTTTATCTACGTAGAATGTTCTTTGGTACACCTTTTTTGTTCATATTGTTGTGGAATTCTTTCCTGAGCTAGCCTGACATATCAGCCGGTTTCATTTCACATTGTGTCTGAACAATCTTTTTGCTTTAACCAATCAGTGCCGTTTGGTCGTGGCGTAAACATTTTCTTTGCTATGGCTTTAGATTTCCAGATTTCTGAGATGCTTACATTTATCTCGGCTGCTTTGTTTACTGCAGAACTACAGATGCCATGGCTTTACTCTGTTCACTGACCAGTGAGTGCCAATCTCACTTCCTCATATATTGTAGGAGCTGCAGTGAAATTGAATTGAGTGAAGGCACTGGGTGGCACCAGCTTGGGTATGCGAGGAAAGAACCACTTGATTTTACAATAGCTACGCGTGGGTCTGATCCTGTTTTATGTATGTATTTTACTGTTTTCCCCTTAATTCAAAAACGAAGAAATCAACAGTGCTTGCTATTTAACAGACCATTTAGATTCCCAAGTTCTACTATAATATTTCACATTTCCTTGTTAACCCATTGGAAGCCATACCTGGTTGGCCATTTCCAGCAGCACGGGCCGAGTGGGCTGTGCCTTGGATTCAGTCTGGTACCTGGAACACAAAGACACAGACTATAGCCGTGGCAAGCTCAGACTTGTGTGGTCCCCCGTGGCCAGGCCCCCAGTGGCATATGGCAGCCAGCCTCTGCACTGGGGCCGGCTGCGGTTAATGCACCACTGCTCTGACCCGCTCAGGTTTCCTCCACACCGCACTGAGTTAACCCCAAAACACCGCTCTAGCCCTGGTGTCAAGTCCAAGCGCATCCCCCCGTCTGCGGATGGTTGTAGTTCCAAAAGGAGGTGGGCGGTTTATTTTGATTCAAATAAAACGGCACAAAATACATTTTATAATATACAGATTTTCAAACTTGATTTTAATAGTGAGGATACGTTGGTTACCAACAAAATTTCAAATATCTATTTTCAAAAGAAAATAAATTAAGTTTATTATTGCCTTGTGTGTCTGGTTATTTTTGCATGGAACCATGTCCGATAAGCTCTTATGGTTGTGGCTTTATGACAATAATAAAAGTTACTAAAGCAAAGACACATTCAGCTATGCAGCAGGTGTATAGTAGCAGGTAGTCTTAGCCGTGATGAAAATACCATTAGAAAAGCTTCTACTCTGGCGATGTTCAAATACGGGTCTTAAACAGTTGGTTAAAAAATGGGCCCTATTGTAATCCATGATCAAAGCAACGGTGATGCTTTTATAATAAGAATAATTAAATACTATGGCGTTATGTGATCGCAGCAGTCATTCAAAATGCTAGTTATGATTAAGTTTCAACATAAGTCTATTGCTTCTTCTGAATAAAACAAGTGACAGAGTTACATTGTTAGAGGAGGTTGGTCGGTTTGTGGATGGACACAGGATAATATTTAAAGTAGAATGCATAGAAGAAAAAATAACCTAGAATAGCACATCTTTGCCTAGCAGTTGGATTGCTTTTACAAAATCATGCTTCCACGCAGGGGGATTGGCGATGATAAGTTGGTGTTAACCTGATCATTGGCGTTTGTTGAGCAACCTAACTCAAAGTTACCTCCGAGGCAGAAAAAAAAAAACATACTGTACCTTTTGTAGTAGCCTTCAACAACGTCTGCAGCATGGTGTCTGGACATAGTCCTTTTGATGCGCTTCTGATCACATACAAGACAAATAAAAGAAAACAGCCTCTTACCAACATTTTAGATGATTTCTTTATTCAAGGCCTTAAACTTTTCTACACTGTGGGACAAATAAAGGAATATCTTGTCTTATCTTAACCTGGAACACAGCATCTTTTATATCAATAACCCAAATCCATGAGTACATGTTATCTGGATAGGGCAGGGCCCCTTTGACAACACTCTTACAGCTTTCACAGAAGGCAGATTAAGAAAGGAGGGATTCTGGTTTACTTCTCACAACATCCGTTTGTGTTTTAGATTCCAGGTGATTTTGGGCTTAGCCTACACTCACTATCCCCAAGTGTCAAAGAAAGGAAGCCTCTCAGGCTATGCACAAATACAAGTTTCTCTTCTCCCACACAAGGTCATTTTGCAGAACCCTGATGACCCCTGTTTGGAAACCACTGTGTGTATACAGTACTATTGGCATCTTTTGAACCTCCGTGCAGCAGAGATCTAGGTCAGACTCATTTAATTTCAATAAGTCCTTTTGGGGGTCAAAGTGTATTCGAAGCATCCATGTTCGACACCTCCGCCTCCTTGGTTCCCCCTTCGCTCACAAGCGTGTATTCATTTCCCCTTTTCCATCACGCCGTGACCCTATCCTGCATTCCTCCTCGCGCTGACATTTCCATCCATTCAATTACCATCCTTGCCCAAAGCAAGCGCGAGACGGGATGAGATGTGAGGATTTTTACAGAAACACGGCTTATTTAAAAACTACTACAAGCGGAGGGAAAAAAATGTAATTCCGAGGAGAGAGAGTGCGCCCGTGTGTGAGTGGCAGCTGTCAGGCCGATGATGAATGAGTCCATTTTGCCCAGCGTTCCTTCTGCCACCGGCCCGGCTAGCCCATTTATCATCGTCCGCTGTCAAACGGGCGAGAGGCGGTGACAGTGCGAGTCAGCAAACATTTAGCACACGGCGGCGCGCTACACGGGCAAATTATTATTGTCAGAATAATAATGGTTTAGCATAATTTATTACAGGTCCACCAAATAAGCAGGGGCTAGATGTTATTAGACAGATGGATGTGGGAGGCTTGGCACGCATCCACCCCCCGGGCTCGGGCAGAGAGAATGCACTGTAAAACAAAGGGGAGGACGGAAGATTCTTCAGATGAGTTTGGATTCCACTCAGTGGGTTTGTGCAACAGGTTGAAGTGTACATAGCACCTTTTTGTGATTTTAGAATTTTGACATCATTCTCTAGAATAGGCTACCTGATGCAAATATGAAATAAAGCTGTACACCTCTCGACAGTTGAAAATGTATCAAAAGATGATAAAAATCAATAATCAAACCAAGTGTAATATTTTTTAGAACTTTGAACAAATATTCATTGTAAAGTCATTTACAATGAAGCAGGTGAGAACAGATAAATGAGCTTTAACAAATCTATGACAATATGTGTGTTAGCTGACAATTTTTAGTTGAGACTTGCGTAAAGAGCAGTAAACGATTAATAAAGTGCAGTGATTATAGTCTTGATTAATTGTTACAGTCCCATTTCGGCCTTTTTAATGATTACACTGGGCCAGCTCTACTCTCTCCACAGATACAACTTGTAACTTTGCCTAGTGAAGCCTTTGGCCTCAGGCATGCGCTTGTTTCCTATGTTAATTGAAAATGTTATACTCTGACGTATTCTAAAATAAACTAAACTAAATTTTGATGACCGAGGGAAACCGCAGGTCCTCCACTAGGACCGTTCGTCCAACGCACCATTCACAATTTCAACGCTGAATTTACAAATAACAATGCATTATACTTGTTTTAACATTGCATACATCGGCTTTCACTGCTAGTCCATTTTGTAGAGTGCAGGGCCCGACGCGCAAGTCCGGAAGAGGGAGGGCTTTGTGCGTATACGGAGCCGGCGACCAATGGCAACGCTGGCAGTTCAATTACAAAGAAATAAAGGGACATTCATCATTCAATTAGGCACCTGTCAGGGCTCACAAAGGGGAAAGGAGAAAAAAAAAACGTCCAACCTGGTATTCGAGGGAGAAGATGCTCAGGAGAGTGGACTGCGAGTGACTGCAACAAATAAAAGGAGGACAAAGTTAATTACCAAGAAGAAAGAAGAAAAAAAAGACAGTGTATACGAGACAAAGAGAAGAGAGGTGCAGGGGGGAGGGATGCCGGTCTGCCCTGTAATCGAAAAGAGAACACGAAAACAAGTGCGCTAAAGTTGTTCCAGATGAATAGCTCAAGAAGTGTGGACAGCAGCGGCGGCTTGGGTGGGAGTGCACAAAGTGTGTGTGTGTTTGTGTGTGTGTGTGTGTTTGTGGAGGTGTGATGGAGATGGATGAGAAATGAGGAAAATATGGGCCGATCTCACCTTTGATGCCCCCATGTCTGTTGGAAGTGTCGGAGTTATTAGTTTTACGTGAGTGAAGCAAGTGGTGTAAGATCAGGTAAGTGAGAGGTAATAAAAAACATACAACATAGTTTATAATGTGAACAATTTTAACGCTGTCATTAACACATTATATTAGGCAGTTTTACTTCTTACCACTTTAGGAATCTGCTGGAAAGATTGCTACTTCCACAACGTCTGCATTCTACAGGCTGGTCCTATTCTATGATTTCACCTTCAATTCGGAATGAAAATGAAAACCAAAATCTTTTTTTCAAATCTAGGTTTGGTCTGGGGCTCTTGGATTGAAAATTGGCGCTCCATGTTGTTAAGTTCTGCCATAAGCCTGCCTTATTACTGCAATATCCAACAAAGGGAAGTACTCTGACATGCAGTCTTGCCATCAATGGGGTTGTGAGTTTTGTTGTTTATTTAGAATTGTCCACAGCACCCATGCATAGTGAAAAATAGAGTAATAGAGTACTATCATCACCCTGAGTAGTGCTGTGTGACGTGTGTATGTTTTTAATTGTTCTAATATTAAAAAAACTAACAATTATTTCGGCATTTCAAAATAACTAAGTAGAAAAGGACATGACTAAGATTTTACTAGAATCAGTCAGCTAGTGGGAAATTACATTGATAGAAAAAGATCCAAAACCACCTGAAGACACATTATACAACTTGACATGAGAAAGCAAAATCTTTGCATAATGTGGTTCCTTTAACAAACATTGCGTTTCTAAAGTATTGATGAAATATTTGGACTTCACCTTGAAGCAACCATTGACCTCACAACATTCTACTGGTGTCAACACTATTTTTATCCTAATACATGGTGCCTGCGTATAGCATCGCACCATGCAGGCAACAATGCATGGACAACCACACACATGACAGTCAGTGTGGGGATTTACACACTCTCAAACTGACGGCTCATTGAAAAGCGAGGAAAGATTTCACTGTCGAAAAAAAGCTGTGCTATAGCAGTAGCTCCCTCGAAACAGTTCCACGGGTTGTGGTGATTTCTCCGGCCCAGTCAGAGTCAAACAGCTGGAAGAGACAGGACAGGAGGATAGAAGCTCCTGCGGTCTGACGCTAACGAGAGACATTTAAAGCGGTGACAGATATAGCGCTAATTGGACGCTACTGTACATTGGCCTGTTAACAACACAAAAAATATGTGAGTGAAGGCTGGAAGTGGTATGCACAAATAAGGCGATATTAGGTTTATTCAAATGTTTTGAAGATTGTCACTTATAGACAATACTGGAGATCAGATCTGCGTGGATTTGCCATGACACAAACATTTAAAAGTAAACGTTTAAGTAAATGGCTCATAACTCAATACAATTTATACACAACATCGATTGACACTTAATCCATACCTCTATTTCAGATGCACGAGTTAAGGTTCAGATTTACTTCTACAACTGCATAATATGTTATTTCGACTGAGTAACAATGGAGACCCCTGCAGCCTTCGCAATTCTCCCTCATGTTTTCAAATATGCAATTCAAGACACCACTTTTGATATCCAGGCTCAGCGTGCTGTCCACTCATATGTCCCCTCGCAGTGAATGAAAAACACAGTGATGTGAGCAGCAATAAACAGGAGCTGTCTGCCTTTGCACACATTGTAATATTTGGTTTTTAGGTATGCTCGCCTCTCACTGTGACTACTGATCAAGACAACCAGTCGCAGCCTTTGCCGTTTCCGTTCCCCTTGATGGAGAGACTGTGCAAACATTGTGCAAACAGAGAGGACACAGAGGCTCTCCATCAGGCCTCTCTGGCTACACAGAGGGCTAAGCGTGTCTGCGTACAGCATTTTACGGATTAGTATAACTAGGGCCTGTATTGTACATACAAATTTCCCCGTTTTCTGTCATGTCCAGAAGAGTTACTGGACTCTTGGACAGAACCATGGACTCTTGGACAGAACCATGGACCATCTCCTGTGTCTCCCCCGTGTCTCTGCATGACTCTTGCCGAAGCGCAACCAAAACTCCTGAATTTAAAGCTCAGATACCTAAATTTGTTTGTCAGAAAAGACAGGTACATGATTTAAAAAAAAAAACTACCCAAGCTCCTTCCCCCTTCCTTTCTGATTGTTATGGAAACGTAGGCGTAGACCAATCAATCAACACATTTAAATGTTAATCTGAGAACACATTATACATCAACATTATTAAAACACATGCACAAAGGTTTTCAGAATTATTTGTTAACATTTTTATGACATAGTGTTTTAATGCACAAAAAAAGCGATTGCGGTAAACCCTGAAGTACAGTGGGGCAAAAAAGTATTTAGTCAGCCACCGATTGTGCAAGTTCTCCCACTTAAAATAATGACAGAGGTCTGTAATTTTCTTCATAGGTACACTTCAATTGTGAGAGACAGAATGTGAAAAAATATCCAGGAATTCACATTGTAGGAATTTTTAAAGAATTTATTTCACAGACCTGTAACTTCTTCCTTAAGAAGCTCTTCTGTCCTCCACTCGTTACCTGTATTAATGGCACCTGTTTTAACTCGGTATTTGTATAAAAGATAGCCCAAATGTAGCCCAAAACGATATTTCAACCACTGATAATCTCCCTCGATCTGGGGCTTCACGCAAGATCTCATCCCGTGGGGTCAAAATTATCATGAGAACTGTGATCAAAAATCCCAGAACCACACGGGGGGACCTGGTGAATGACCTGCAGAGAGCTGGGACCAAAGTAACAAAGGTTACCATCAGTAACACACTATGACGACAGGGAATCAAATCCTGCAGTGCCAGACGTGTCCCCCTGCTGAAGCCAGTGCATGTCCAGGCCCGTCTGAAGTTTGCCAGAGAGCACATGGATGATATAGCAGAGGATTGGGAGAATGTCACGTGGTCAGATGAAACCAAAGTAGAACTGTTTGGTATAAACTCAACTCGTCGTGTTTGGAGGAAGAAGAATACTGAGTTGCATCCCAAGAACACCATACCTACTGTGAAGCATGGGGATGGAAACAACATGCTTTGGGGCTGTTTTTCTGCTAAGGGGACAGGACGAGTGCACCGTGTTAACCCTATATGCCCGCGTGCATCGGCGCCGATGCACGCGGGCATGTTTTACAAATGATCAATTTACTCGCAAACGGTAAAACGTAGCAACTTACTTTTTTTTCCTCTGTGAAGTACGTATTCAGGGCTTTCCGAAACTAGTTTTGATTTGTCTGTGCGATGCACGGAGGATAAACTACATTTGTCTGAAAGTCCGTGTCCAAAGCGTGACCCGTAAGGTACAAACAGCTGTGAGATACAAACACACGGGGCTTGCCAAAGATCGTCAGAGAGTGAGATCTCTCACTCCTCTGTCTGTACTTGTTGTCCCACAGTTGAAACTACAGCTGCGATTGCAATAACCGGCTGAAGAGTGCGCATTATTGATAAAGACGATAATAAATACAGTAAAATGACATTATGTGTATATGATGTATATAAATATATGTATTATATAAATAATTGATGTTTTTTTTTTTTTTTTGGCTCAGTTTCTTATGTTTTACGTTTTTTACAGCTGTACTACAGAAGCAACCCCAGCATTATAGACAAACTGCTTCAGGAAGGGCATCAGGAGTACAGAGTTTTTTGCTTTTATAGTGGAATTTTGTAAAAAGTATAATAGTTAGAGATTCAATTTTTTTCCCCATTATCCCAAAGTCCATAAATAACATTTCTATGCAGTGTAAAAAGTTGTTTATAGCATTTCATTGTGTTTTTTCAATACATTTGTTAAATTGATTTTCCGTTTGATTTTTTTCTTTGTCTTTATGATTCCATAATTTTTATATAATTCATATGACAGCTTTACAATATGAATATTCTAAAACCCCAGGATGTACTGAAAAAAAACAAAGTATACTGCTTGACTCTGCATCAAAAGATGACTGTTTTATGAACAATTATACACAAAGAAAACCAGGCGAGGAAAGTTCCCCAAAATGACCCATGTGCATAGAGGGTTAAGGAAAGAATAAATGGGGCCATGTATCGTGAGATACATGATTTTGAGCCCAAACCTCCTTCCATTGAGCTGAATTTCTGTTATTGACCAAATACTTATTTTCCACCATAATTTACAAATAAATTATTAAAAATCCTACATTGTGAATTCCTGGATTTTTTTTCACATTCAGTCTCTCACAGTTGAAGTGTACCTATGATGAAAATTACAGACCTCTGTCATTATTTTAAGTGGGAGAACTTGCACAATTGGTAGCTGACTAAATATAAAAAAAATACTTCTTTGCCCCACTGTAAATGGGTAACGCGGATGTTCAGAATTCTTTGTTCAGTTTTCATGAAGTTCCAGAGGTTAATGGAGGCTTGATTCGGAGGTTCCGCAAAAACAACTGAGCATGCGCGCAGCTACGAGCATCAGCGCCGATGATTGACAGCCCTTGGCATCACTTGATTTGTTAAACTGGACGGCATCGTGGATTTTGAGCTAAAGCTAAGAGAAAGGAAGGCAGGATTTACCCGTAATATCAGAATTCATAAAATGACTTATTTTATAATCAACATTTAAGGCCAGGAGGTCAATTTAATAAAATTCTTAAAATTTGTAATTCATGTAATTCATCACTTTAACATTTAAAATACATATATGTAAGGTGAACAAAACATCCTTAGACAT